CAGTCCGTCTTGTCTACTAAGACCAGTCATCTGATCGATTGAATGATTTATATTTATTTGTAAAAAAGCGGACAAAATTTGGTACCAAATTCTGGTTAGCTTTCGATGTAAATAAGAAATATATATATAGTAAAGATGAAAGGAGAGAATCTTCAGTTTCCACTGTTTTAAAATAGTCTAACAAATAGTTAACAAAAGTCTAACAAAAAGTTAAGGTCATTTTTTAAATTCAACTATCTCTGTCATCGTTTAACGCGTCGGGCCTCTGTCGCACGTGAGTGACGTAGTATTTACTATTTACTACAAGCACGTGCAGTCAACGACCTTGCCATGGCCGTAATGAAAGTTCATTGACCTCACGACGTAAACAACGAAAAGTAAACAAACGCTTGTATCTCCGGAACTAACAACGCAATCGAGTTGAAATAAAAATCGCTATATCTCCGGAACTAATTACGCTATCCACATGAATAAACGCTCATTTTTAAGGGCTTTTCATTCTCTATCCAACGAACAATCAACTATTATTATTTATGCTGTCTTCTATGCTTATTTGCAAATCTTCTTTGACTCTATGCATCAAAAGAACTAGGGTTCGATAAAACTGAATTATAAATTGTTTATTTAATTGAAAATGAATTTAACTTTGTATACAGGATGTTTACATAATTACTAGTCAGCATTGTTTCGTAAATAATAGTTTTCTCTGTAACAAACTACGGTATCGGTTTGAAACAAAATTCGTTTTTAAGGGCGTTTTATATCTTTTTCGATAAAAATTAAAAAATTTCAGCGTAGTTTGTAAATTTTCCGTGTAAAATTAAAGTACTAAGTATTCACATTCAGAGTAAAATGATTGAATATTTTATTTATAGTCGTCGAATATTCTGGACCAATGCACACAATATTCAAATACTCACATAGTTAAGTCACACGCTGATGTTGTTAATAAAATGTAAATAAATCCCTGTGTGCATGGTATTCACCCCGATTTATGTATTTTCCTACTTACTCTGGAACCAATTAGGTGTTATGCAAGATCGTGGTACGACTATATTTGGATTTGCGAATATTCGAGTCGCCGAAACGTTCGAATATTCGAACGCAGAGAGATTTGACGAGATGTTTCAACCCCTGAAGCAACGTTGTTTCCATCGAAGCGCATACGCCGTTGCACCAGCGTTCCATCTCACGGTAGATGCTGATCGAATCGCGATGGCGCCGTATATCGATTACCTGCCGCTCACGGTGTTATCGAGCCACGCTTAATTAACGGCGAACAAACTGCAGGGTGGATTATAAGCGGCCAGGGTTAATCGCGCCGAAGAGGAGAGGGGACCAACGAAAAATGGTCCCCCGTCTTATAAAACCTACTATTTCTTCGATCCTCCCTTCCTCGGAGAAATTCATTCTCCCGTGACCAACGATTTTGTTCTCGTTTAAGACAAACGTTTCGAGATCCTTTACGGTAGCGAAAAGAAATCCTCGGGTCACCGTAAAATCGGCATTTCTCCGGGCCCGTGTGCCAACGACCGCGCTTTTTACCGCCATTCTTCTATGTACTTTCGCTGAATCGAATTTGGAGACCAGGAGGTTACCTTTTATTGACCCTCCTCATTTTTCAATCCACCACCGTGACGGAAAAGGGATCCTCTCGCAGCGATTAGCGTGTGTCTGGTAGAAGGCTATTTTTATTATACAGAGGAAAGTTTTATTCGAACAACAAATTTCGAGAAATCTGTAGATTTATTTAATTACTGGGAAATATTTCAATCTATGATCAAAAATCTATATTTTAGTGATCCAGAAATTATAATATTTTAATAGTTAAGGTAGAGAACGGTACTTATAAATAAATAATATATATAGAGATATGCATATAACAAAGTAGAATTGATATTGAGACTTATAATTTAATTATTCCATAAAGAATGAATCGAAATAAACTCGACCCAAATTAATGCAATTAATTTCGAAAAAAATAACGTGGAAATTTTTCTCGATTACGATACTCTCCTTTCTCGTAAGTTAGAAATTAAAAACGGAACTTATGAATTGATAGAAGCAGAAGGGACATCGAAGGTTACGATCCCCCGGTTTAATTGGAATTTAGCGACGTTCGAACGAGAAAAAATCATTATTCGATAATCGTATTACCGCCAATAAAAATCTTCTACGGCGTCGCTATATTTTAGATGACATAAAATGCTCCGTCGACGTGTCGTTCGAGGAAAGTCCTAACAGCGCTCTAAAATGGCATTGTGGCGCGTCGGTACGGAACTAATGAACTCACGACGGGGCTTTCACGGACAGAGTTATTACAGCCCCCCTCTTCCCTGGCTATAGAGTTCCTCTCGTCCTTGCCTCCGTGGTTGTCTTCTGGTCCGTTCCCCGGGGTACTTCTCGCCGCCTTCTTCCTTCTTCGAGACGTACAGCACCAGCGCCCTTCGTCACCGACCTGGACACCGTGGCTGCCCGGTATTATGGCAGATCTATCGTTCCTCCGTTTAAATAAGCCTGGACCTTATTTTTACTACTCCTTCTTCTGGCTGTTACTCTTCTTAGCAGCTCTTTTTATCGCGTTCCACCATCTCCGCTTTCTGTGTGCGTGTTGGCAAGTTGCAATTGTTGCTGATACGTCGTCGGTTCGAGGAACGAAATGTCGGGTTATATTATTTGGAAATATGAATCCTATATCAGGAGCAATTGCATTCTTAAACGTAAATTTAATATGAATATATTGAAAGAGTATAGGAAATAAAACTAGTTTTAAAAAATCAACGAAGAAGCGAAAAGGAGAGGGGATGTTGAATCAAATATTGAAGCAGACTGTTTCTCAAAATAAAATTTTCAATATATTTTATTTTACAACATACATGTAGATTCTTAATTTTGCACATAGTAATTCAAATATTTTGGACTTCTTATCCATTTAATTTATGAAAAGTTTGTATAATTGAAAATATATTTTCCAAAGTTTTAAAAAATATTTCTGGTACTGTTTTCCAAGAATAATTGAATACATTTACTTTTAAATTGTTAAAAATTCACCTGGTAGCATCGACGTCGAAGAATTCGTATCGACTTGTTTTCAGACCCACGATCCATAATACCCACGTATTCAGTCTTTGCAGTCTTTTGCGAGTGTATCGTTCACTCTGGCAATTATTTTCTAAAAACGCAGGCGTGTCCACGTTTGCAATTGTTTCTCTCGCTGCTGGCAAAAGGGGGTGCTCTATTTCCGAGTTTCTCGCCTCCTGCTTTTAGCGCAGCAACTTTAAAAAGCTTTCTCGATTCACCCATTTACGTTTGTTTCCTAAGCAGACTTTCTTTATTTTCTCTAAATTTCCGTTGCTGTTTCCAACGGCATCCATTTCCCAAGAGCTTCGGATCCCAAGCTCGCTTTCCATCGTCTGTTTCTACTTTACGTCATTCCCTGGGAGCTATCGTTACGACTATGGCACAAATAATTTATTACGCGTATATTAATTGTTTTGCTTATATTTGCTAGCCAATATAAATTGAAATTTATTTTATACAAAGCATGGAAAAATAAATAGATGTCCTCCATTAAATATTTCTTAGGAAACTCTCTGTTAGGCCCCTCATTTTAACTTTGATATCCATATTGAAACCGATGACTGACAATAAAAGGGACATTAATTTTCAACCTTGGTCGTCCAACCGTCACTCTTTTTCCGTCCATAAGGAACTCAAACGAAATTCTTCCGCGGCGCAGGAAATCTCGCGCCACTTCAGCCATTTTCGCGGTCATTAAACCGGGCGTCGTCGCGTGAACGGAGAAAAAGCCGCGTTCCGGAAGACTGCTAGCGCGGAGCAGAAGGCGACTTCGTCGAGGAAAGTCGTGAATCCGCTAATTTGCTTTCGAAAGAAACCGCCTGGCGGCGGATTTTCCGCGGGATAAATCCTCCAAGTCGGGGAACAGATGGGGGTAGAAGGATTGACAAAGCGCGTAGTCGAGACGGCTATCTCGGCCTCCTTTCAGCCAATTCCGCGAACCGGAGAGCAACACAGTCGAGCCTCTCTCGACGACGTCTCATTGTTCGGGTCCCCTGTATACGCGTCTATACAGCCGGTGTCCTTTATCTTAATTCCATTTCACTTCGGGACGTGGCCTGCCAACTGCGTCCCGGTAATGCATCCCCCGACTCGGCTACCACCCCTCCGACCAGCCCTCTCTCGTCACTGTAATTTCGTGCGAGCTACTTTGACGTGTCCTTGACTCTCGCAGCTTGGAAACCTCGACCCTCGCCATTGCAGAAGTCCTTATTCATTCGCGGTGATTCAAAGCCCCTCCTGCTGGGCCTATCGCTAACGGTGTTGTTTCTTTACGGGTTGGAAGTCGCGACTACACGGTATTTTGTTCGTTCTCCCATTGTTCGACGATCGCCACCACTAATTAGTCTTTCATTGCGCCGCGGATCTTCCCGGAAAAATAAAATATTGCGTCCGATGCCAGCTACAGTGATAATTCGTAAATTGAACGTTTCTATACCTCACCAACTGGGGATTATAGGATTAAAGACTTTTTTTTAGTAATTTGGCTTCACTATTTGTAATTGATCCTGAAAATACCATTACAGTAAAATTTATCCTCCAGTATTGTGTCTTCTAATAAATTTGATTTATTACTTTTGCAACATTTCTATATTTATTTCGATGAAATAAATGGAACTAACATCGTTCTATATAAAAAAATTATCTTACAATGGTCATTCGTTTTATTGTAGTAATAAGAAATCATTCTTGTTCACAAATGGAGATCATATTAACAATATTATTCTTTAAACATTAAACATAAGTATGGGGAGAATCTGACAACTGGGGCATATCTGGTTACTTGACAACTACGTGTACTCGATGGAATTTCGAAACACTTACGAATTAATGCGAGTACAATACGTCGACGACGACCTAAATTCGCAACATTATAGACGTGTCACGAATCGCGACCGCTAACGAGCTCGTTTCTGTTCCAGAGAGGTACGACACCGCGTACGCCTGCGAGGGCAAAACACTGCTGATCGAATGCGGCGAGGGAAAGCTGATCCATCTGATCAGAGCGAACTACGGGAGGTACTCCATAGCGATATGCAACGAGCACGGGAACACCGATTGGAGCGTCAACTGCATGTCGACCAAGTCCTACCGCGTGCTGAACAGCGAGTAAGTTTTTCAATCGACGTCCTTTGCTTCCCCCCACCAACCTCATAGCGCACAAGTGGTCCTCGACAATCATCCCCGTGCATCCCTTCCGTCCGTATATTCGCGAGACGCGTCGAGGAATCGAATCCCCGGATGAACGGTAGAAGATGAAACGAAAAATAAAAGCGAAACGAAAGTCGAACTGTACCGAAGAAAAATCGTAACGCGCGGACATTTTCTATCCTTAATGAGTCGACCAGCACCAATTAAAGGAGACGTCCGATCCGATCGAACGTGGATCGCGCTTGTCACTTGGTCCCAAGGTTATCGAACGATCCGACTTTCTACGTGGATCGGTATCTACCCCTTTTACGACCGCTCCATTCGAGATATCCAGCATGACACCTGGAGCCTGGTTCGTTCGCTCCGCGGTAACGAGAAATGCTTCCTGAACCCGTGGCGCGTGTATATCGATCATAGTCTTCCGATGACCTTGGACGGGGCCTGATCTATACGATCTATCGCCGCGAATCTCGATCCGATCTCTCTACCCGCAGAAACGATTGGACGCCGCAGATGAAAAATTATGAACCGTCGAGTATGCGGAAATTCGAATCCGTGGATTTCGCGGCAGGGAGAAGACTATAACGGCGTGTGGTCGACGTTCTAACCGCGGAAGCGATCGTTAAAATATCGTTACGATCGATTTACTTCGCGACCATACGCGTTTTGAAGGAAATATTCATATTTCGATTTCAATGTTTGGTCCTTCGATCAAAGAGTATAGTCGAATTAGTGTGTGATTTTGGGTGACGTACCAAGTTTGAGTAACTGTAGAAACTTCTAAATAAATTTATATATTAATGACATCGTGTGTGTTATTGAATTATTAAATGCGCAAAATGGTATTGCTATATAAATTTATTTACAGTCCCTACAATTACTCAAACTTGGTGTGTGATACAATGTCACATAACGGATTGGGATCAATTTGGACTTGTGCTAATCGTTAGCTTTTCAAAGAAAATTTTAACACTGAGAATCTGATAAAATTACAGACTAATAATTATAAGAATCCAATTTTAAAAAGTATGATGATTCAAAGACTACGATATTTCTGAGTTTGTAATAATATTCTAAGCAACAGGAAAGAAGAAATCGAATTAACTGAAAATTATGTTCTCTGTTATTGTATACTAAAGACGGAGGATTGAAACTTGGTAAAGATTATTTTAAGCTAACGAATATGACGAGTCCAAGTTGATTCAAATGCAGTTTGCACGTGATTATTCGTCTATACATTTTTCTCGAATAAAATATTATCGGGTTGCGATCTTGAAGCAATAAAACAAAAAAATTCCAAGTGTAAGGTAATTCTACGTGCAAAAATAAATCGAAAACGTAAAGTAAAATTTTTCTATACGAGACTTCGTTTCCCAGAAAATCAACGTTGAAACTATCTAAGGCACGCGCGCGTTTGATTAAATATTAGTTCAGTAAATCTCTCTATAAATATCTGACTTATTCCCGGACATACCATATCATCGAAATGAATATCCATTTCATATCAGTACAGGAGCCTACAAAAATATCTCTACAGTTCGCGCTAAAAAGTAATCGCGCGTGTCCCAAACATTTTCAAACCGGATTCTTTCGTAAATGAGGGCCCGTATAAAAAAATTTCACTGTACGTTTTCGACGTATTTTTACACGCAGAATGCGACATTCGCAAGCGCGATTCGCGGATTGTAATCGTACGTTTTTCTTCGAAACTTGAGACAACGTCCCTCGGTGAAAACGAAGGTTCCTCGACGCGTTCTTCCTCTCCTGTCCACGGAAATGGAGCAAAGAGCACGGAGTCGAGATTGCAAGGAAATAAACGATGGGGGTGAAAGGAAAGGAGAAAGGATATATCCAGGGGAGGAAGGAAAATGAGAAAGGAGTGGACGGCTTCATATGGTCCGGCGAACTGGCCAATTGCTTGACCATTGAAGAGCGTATTTCGCGGCGGATCAGAGCGATAGGAAGAATCGCAAACTCAGTGATCTCTTCTCTATCCCGGTCCCCGCGAACATCCACTCTATTTCCTACGATCTCCGTGTCTGCGTTCCTCCAAGTCACATTTACACACGAGATACACACAGCTTGCGATATACGTTCACAAACGAAACATACGCGTTACCACGCGCGCGTCACCGATCCACGTCCTACAAAATCCCTCGCCCCGAGACACCCAATCTTGACGAAACGTCCTACGGATTTCTAATTCTATTCTTTCTTTATTTCTTCGTTTCTTTCCCTCCTCGTTTGTGTTTCTTTATTAGGTCTTCGTTGTTGAACGAATCGCGACGATATCGAGGATCCGTTGTCCGGTCAGTCTGGATACTCGACTCGAAAGCAGGGACTTGGTGGAAATGAAAAGTACTGGTATCGTGTCTATAACTTTTTGTTTTATGAAATTACAATTGTCATATGTGTTGATAATTTTCTATTTATATTATGTATACAATATACAATAGCGTCCATCTTTGTAGCGTTTCACTTACGAAAGTAGCAATTTAAAATGAAGATTGCCAACAAGAATCAGAACAATACCAGTACTGTGTGGGCGAAATTTAATCGAAACCTGTAAGAATTTCGTTACTAAGTTCCTGCTCCGCAGAATGGAGCGCAGACAGAGAGGGAAATAGACAGAGAGAAGAGGGTGACGTAGAATTTTACGAAACGGTCGCGTTTCGTCGTGATTAATAGCCCGCTGGCGGAAATTGGTTTCGTTCGGAGTGGCGCGATGCGAACGACGATGATAAGACGACTGACGTCGGCGTCGACGTGAATAATTGGGAAAGATAATCGCAACGACGAGTGGGAATCGCGTCTGGCGGAATTATCGTCGCGGCAGGGTCCGAAATGAGCTTTTCGATGTCGATTGCATCGTCGAAACAGGAAAAAGGACCGCGACGAGGACGCTCGACCACCGAAGAGTGCGACGTAACCGCGAAGGTCGCGTTAAAATCAAATTGCTCCTCCTCCACGGTGGCTGAAGCATACTTTTTCGAGAAAAAAGAAGGTGTATTTAAAGTTGGAGCACCGTCTAAGGACCCAGCAGGAGTAATAACTTTCGGGTTAACTTTAAGTGGAGAAGTTCCGCGACGTCGGTGTCGCTCCGCGTGGAATTCGTACGCGTGTTGCACGTAGTCTGAGACTTGAGCGTCAGAGATGGGCAAAATTCTAGTCTGGATAACGATTTCGAATAATGGATAAAATGAAAATAATTCCAATTATGGGAGGAAATATAATTTTTCTAACTATAATCTTGAAGAAATGGCTTGTAGAGAATTTAATTGTCTTTCTGTGATTTAAAAAAATCAGTTAAATTTGTTTTTTGTACAGTATTTAATTTTATAGCGACGTTGTTTGTAGCGAGGACTTTATAATGCAAACGTATGAAGAAGGAGCAACCATCGAATAAAATAACTTGTTTTTCCGCGGGCGGTTTCTTCGAGATCGTAGTCGTAATCAGGAATAAATTGCTCTGCGTTGGTTTTATTGGTTATTTATTATTCGAATAAAATGTTGCCCAACTCTGATCAAAGCGTATTGCAAGACGAGGAGAAGGAGTTTCGACGCCAATTTAACTCCTCCCGCGGAATCGATCGGGAAGATCGCTGATCGTAATCGCTGTTCTATCCCTTCGATATACGGTTACTTGTCTCTCTTCTCTCTGTCTACGTCGTCTATTATCCTTTCTTCCAGTCTCTATTCGCGAATCGATCCAGACTGCCGTGACTTTTTCTCCTATCAATTCCCGTGACTCACGAGTACCGGAAAAATTTCGTGCAACATATCGACAGTCACTGTTCGTCGATATACAGGGTGATTCCGGTAACTCGATCGAGCTGTAGCTCTTTCGTAAACGAAGATAGAAAAACAGAAACGCATACAGTAGATCACAGTGAACAATATTTATTACCATCTTTGAAATTCACATTAGAAAAAATCAGAAATAAAATATAAGTCTGCGAGCAAGAATATTTCGGCAATAAATTGAAACCTCGCCATTCGCGTAGAACGAAAGCATCTGTGGCCTACATCGATCATAACGAATACGAATTTAACCTTTCCAGTGAGTTAGTTTACCACTATTTTCGGAATCTAGATTAGGAAACCATGAATTAGTAACGAAAACTTGTCATTTACGAATTTACATTTTATTTTTAACCTGCAACCTTTGATATCCTGAACTTTCAAGATGGCGATAAATCACTGGAAACGTTAAATGGAATTTTATGCTCGATCCGATTGTATGTTATTTTTAATGTATAATTTCTGATATTCTGAATTTTCAAGATGGCGATGGATCAAGTCACAGGAAACGTTAAATTTTTACCTATTTTCGTTTAAAACGTAGATACGTTCCAGTTCGGTTGTTGGAATCACACTGTACACTCAATTGTATCGAATGGGAGCACCAGTGAAGACGGTTCTCGGGGGAAAAATGTGTGTCGACGGTTCTGTTTAATTCCCCGTGCTTAGATATTTCTACCGATCGCTTGGGAGTTCCATTCTCTCGAGTCTGGATTTTAATCATCCACGCGGATCGGCCTTTATCGGTGCGTCATCGGCTATCCGGAATAAATTATTACCGCGTACGCCGCGGTAATTTTCTTTTTTTCGGCTGCCTTTGACGCGCCTCGCCGTCCTTCATTTAGAACCGTCCGATCTGGCGTGCGGGTGATTTTCTCTCGTTGAACGGAGAATCAACGGTGCAATGGCGATCATGTGCGTTCCGTCGAAACGCCAGACGATAATTAGTTTTCAGTTCGGTCTGGCGAGAAATTTCGTTCGCTAGTCGCCGTATTATCCTAAATTAGCGATGGGACCGAATCGATGTCACACTCGTTAATATCAATACGTATCGATACCCAAACATCGCGACGAGGTATCGAACTGCTATCAGAAACAGTCGTTGGTACTAATAAACGACCGTTCTTGACACTTATTGTAGTATCGATACAATTCAA